ACCCTGGCTGACTGCTCAACGATCTCCGAGAGCGACTCGCGCAAGTTCTTATCCGAGCCTGCGGGAGAAACTACGTAGGTGTGCGGCACTCGAAGCGTACCTTGCCCTACGCGGTTCGAGATGGCGCTCGTTGTGCTCCTCGCCTGCGCGTTGTCTAACTTCCGCGGTCTGTAACTCGCAGTCTCGAAGATGCTTGAGGCAATTACACGCTCGATGCTCCATCCAACCTATTTCCGAACGAGGCAGATTCCATGCTGCAAGTGTCGCTGTGAGCAACGGTCTTCTTGACTTGTGGAGTGCTTACTGACCATCTGCAGCGACAGCCTCTCGGCTGCGGAGGAACGCACTGCCATCGAGGCACACCCGGCGTTCTTCGTGAAGTAGGACCACGTCGATATGCTTGTCGAGACATTTCTTGCACAATACTTTACGTTTGCCTGAGTCAGTGAAAGTAGCACGATGCCGGATGGCGGACCAGGGATGGTACTCGAAGTAGTGTCGGTACCACCGTGATGCCATGATAGTATTTCGCACAGGTGCTGGAGAGGTATGAGGGCGAAGAGTCCACTTGCGGATTCGCAATCAGGCAAGAGTTGCTGGGATTCAGTGGTTGGGGAGTCATGTTACATGTTAAGTACGATGAGCTTTTTATGTGCGCTCATAGGCATGTGGCCTATGTGGTTGTCCATAACCTTGCTGAGTACCACCGGCTAGTACGTACTCGTGTTGTACAGCTAGCGCTTCCGGGTGAGTGCGTCAATGAGAATGGCACGTCGGACCCTTAAGGGTCCGTGTTCTTACAGAACTTGCTCGCTGATGCGTCCAGAAAGCGCACAGCCCCACCGCATCGCCTTCGCGAGGAGGCAATTGCCAAAATGATCCCGCGGACCGATATCGCTGTTCCGCAAACATCGCGGGCTCGGGTCAGGATTTTGGTACGCGTACGATGGCAAACTGCAAATAAGATTAGTTCGGTAAGCGCGGACTGCTTCGAATTCTCTGCAGAATGACTGCTTCTCCGCAGACTGATTGCTTCTTAGGCTCTGCAGAAGCTGTTTCTCTGCAGACTACAGATACCGCGAACTTCTCCCGTCAGAGTTCAGGCAGGCCTCAGGCCTCACCAGGCCCGTCAACCATGGAAGTGCAGCAGTCGGAGGTCGAGGCGCCCTCGACGCTATGCTCGGAGAACGCGGGGACGTTAAACGTCCAATGTTCTGTGTGTGGGGTGTGTCCCTATAGGTCGTGCTGCGATTCACCTGACAAAGGTCCATAATTGAGTACGTTCTCATACCACGCGAGATCGTTGCCACCTTACAAGGATAGGGCCATACTCAAGGCTACATGAAATAAGAGGGTACACTATATACTTTGGAGCGTTGTGTTATGCAATTTCGCCCCTTCACATGTAGGCATCGACGTCAGTAGAGGAGGCCATATAAACCCTGAGTATGCTCATGAGCGAAACAGGTATCGGATCGCTCACAGGACTATGCGCTGGCCGTGTAGCGAATGAAGGACCAATGAATATTGGTGTCTCATTCAGTCACTAGTCGTAAGAGGCGGAAGATGTGGCTGATAAACGCAGACAAGGCGACTCCCAGAGTCGTTCAGAACGCGAACTATGAGCCTGTCGCCATCACTCCTCGTCGCTCTGGTCACCCAAAAATGCCATGATACTCATGCGTGCGTTTGGTGCCTGGATGATGCATGACCCATGCCATAACGTCGAGATAGGCGGGACAGCCAACCATCAGTCAACATGTGCGCAGTACCGTGGGTGTCAACTCACCCGTCTCTTCGTTGGAACGGCCTCATTCTCCGCTTCTTCGTCGGACTCATCCATGTGCTTTGCAGGCTGTCCTGTCCTCGTACGCCCTGACACGGTGGGACCGTTGACCATCGCCTTCTCGAAGTTCCTCACATCCTCTTCGTCTCCAGGTCAGCACACACGCTCCGTGGTCGACGGGGCAGGAAACGCACCCAACTCCTGTGCGAGCTCGCGCTCCGCGCGGATCGCCTTCGCCTTTTCCATACTTAGGCGCCCGGTCATGCCGAGCTCGGTAAGCAGGGCCTTAAGCTGG